GTTGAACACGTTAAAATTGTCAATGATGATCTGAACTAGTTTGCTGAAGGATATGGACAGTTCAGTGGTGAGAGATGTCAAGATCAGATGGTGGTTAGATGATGAGAATAATTAAAATAATAAAATCTACATGGGGAACCATCTAAAATAGGCTAAGAAACTGAAATCTTTTCAGAAAAGGCTCAGAAATATGTCATGAAATGTACTAGAGTTTGGGCCTTCATTGAAATCCATTTCATTGTTGCCCTTCTGAATGTGCACAATGGATGCACAGGCCGAAAACTTATAGGCAAGCCCTTATGGTCTTTTTTTAGAGATGAAGCCCTTATGGTGTTTCAATTCATGGATTAGGGCTCAGATGCATGTTTTAATTGCTGCCTTGTGTTTTGAATGGAAGAATTTGCTGATTCTCTTTTATTGTTTTTTGTGAAGTAAAGTTTTTCTCTCAAGTATTTTGGGATTTTTATTATTTAGCTTTGCTCTATCCACTTTTGTTGTTAAATATTCGTCTGCACCAATCTGTCTTAGGAAACTTTTGATCGCTTGTCTTCTGTGTGTTTTGATCTTGTTGTATGTGCGCTAATTAGTCCAATTAGGATCTGTATTTTGTTTCTTAATCACTCTGATAATTTTGTACTAGTTTCTTGGTGTCTTCATTTCATTTGTTGTTGGGTTATGGTGGTTTAGTATTGGGATGATCGTCACGTGGAGGAACTTGTTAACTGACATTTTTGTAGATTGTCAAATGATTGCATTGTGACTTGATTCCTTGCACAAACCGTGGATTCAGTTCATATGCTAGTTATGGATAATAATGCTTCATGATTTAGCTATCTTAAGTTCCTTTGGAGTTGGAGAAAGTAGTCTGTATTGGTTTTGCTTAAACTGGTGCTCCAGTTGCATGCTGCTCTAATGCTGAAGTATTCCTGCGTTTACCTTCGGAGTGTTGGCTCTAACTTTTGCCGGGCCTTTGTAGTGCAATTATCAGTTAAGCAAGCTTTATCTTTAGGGCTGTGACTGTCTACTTCGATTCTTCTAGTGACTTATGTTGATGTTCGCACTTAATGTATATCAGTTAAACAGATTTATTCACAAAAACGCTTTCATGTATCCCTTTCCCTGATAATGTGAGTTCACGTTTCTCTTAGTTGGAAATTGCAGAATCTCATTGGACATTCAGATTAAAAGAATTAAATCCTACATCGATGCAAATATCAAATAACCATTTTTCAATGCGAATGAAGCGGACTTTGATGTAAGGTGTTAATGAAAACAGAAAAGCAAAAACATTCATGTAATTCTAAGGTAGCTTATGAGTGATAAAACGTGCAGCATGCAAATTCTTCATTTTGCTCAGGTCTCAGGGATTAAGTGCTTATAATGCGAGCTTTTGACTCTACTGGTCTTTTAATATTTAGCGGTGCTCTTAACATGTCTTTCTTTTATCAGAAATGTGTTGAGCAGTTCAAGTTTCCCTGCAAAACCTATTTTGTTAAGACTCCACATTTCTGTTCTTTGTTCTGCGATTGGAATTTTTAATTCATGGATCTTCGAAGAAATAAGACTTAAGACAATGCTGCGAGAATCTGATGGAAATCCACAGCAAAGGGGGTTACATTAATTATTTTCGCATATTTGTAAATCTAGTAGGAGATTGATAAATCATATTTAACGCACTTAGACGTTCATCAATATTCTGACTCTTAAAAATATATATTTCCCTATTGGTAAGGCTTGGCATTTGCCAATAGATCGAGAAGATGAGGTGAGGTATCATTAGCATCAATAGCAAAGAGGTTGGATATTAGTTATTCGAGTGGAATTATTAAGCTGAACTAAGTCATGAATTGTAACGCACCGTCATGAGTTGCAAGCCAATACCTATCCAACTCTGCTAGGAACACATAACTATAACATGGTGGCTGTTTGACTCAAAAGATATCGAAGCCTCTTTGAATAAATCAATCAAAGAAAATGAAGGCGTAAATCTTAGTCGAGTATAATAAATTCCAGATCAAAGAACTGATAGTTTAGATAGTGTATAGGACGAAAGGAGTATAGTGGATCTTATTGACATTGTACATTGACACTCCCATCGATCTAGGGAGGAGGTAACTTTACGTATTATTCTTCGATGTGTTATTTCTCTCCTAAGAAGACTACAAGAAATGAGGGATCTGGAGAGAATAGGGGGAGAGCCCCAATCGAAGGTTTTTTCTCACTTTATATAGTCAAGGCACCTTTACCCTTTACTTGGGCTGACGCCCTCTTGCCTCCAACGTGTCTTGATCGTCCCTTTAGGCGCTGCTCTTTTTGACTCGACGGATGTCGGGAAAGGGATGCAGAGTGGGCTATGTTATCCTTCATTGCCCGGTCACTTAGGAGGGACGTTGGTTAGTTCGGCCGTGACAGTCAGATTTTGACCAATACAGGTAGTCCATCCGTCTGTCGGGGTCGTCCCCTATCGGGCTCGGCAGTCGGATCATGATTGCCACGAATTCGAGCGATATCTGACCTCTGACTTTTAATTCCTTAGTTGTTACTTGGGTTTTGAGCGGGGTGGCAGCGTTCTTTCGATATCTATGGATCGTTGCGGCAGTTTCGGAACCGAGACGTCGCTTGATATCAATGCGTCGTTTCGTGATTACCGCCATTATGGCACACGTTCCTGGGAAAGTGAGACGTTTCGTGCCCTATCAGATTCGATTGGCGACTCTTGGGTTTCGTGCTCGGGGGATTTATGTCTCTTATAAATATAGGGAGCTTAACATTCGATTGACACACTTCTCTGCCTTTTGGTCTTAAGAATTCTGTATATATACTCCCTTTCTGACACTCCATATTTTCGTCTGCCTTCAAATAACTGGAAATCCCCATCCTTTCTTTTCGTTATCTTTTTCTCGCCTATTTTTTGGACAAAATGGCTGGTGATTCCTCTTGCACCGATCTCCCTGTCACAGTTCCGGCACCGGAAAATGCTGCTCAGGCCACCAAAGGGGTAGATGCGGTGGAGGGAAGACGAGGAAGTTCTATCGATAGTTGAGATTTTTCCTCGCCCTGGGAGAGAATTAACCGATTTCAGCATTCGCGCCGGGGCGAAGTCGGAGCATGTCCGTTCTATTATGAGAGAAGGAGCCACTGTAGAGTTGAATACCAAGTGGGGGATCCCCGGCTATGTTGACATGCGACCGGTGGAAGGAAATGACATAGTTCACTTCGACCGTCTTGGGTACTGCGTATTTTACGCTTACCCTTTCCTTATTGGATATACACTTCCTCTTACTCTCCTGGTGGTGGACTTCTGCCGTTTTACGAGGTGTGCCTCGCCCAACTGTCGCCATACCTGTACAAGTTGTTCCTTATGTTGCTCAAGTTTGCGGAACTCGCCGGTCGTGAGATCACGTTGGATCATCTGCTCAGTATCTTCGCCCCTCAGCTTATCCGCGACACGATGCTTCACATGCGTCCTCGGGGGTCGAAGAGCCTGGTGGTAAAAATGGACAGGACCAACCGTCGTTTTTATGAGAATTATTTCTGCGTGCAGACTGAGCACATTGTGGCGGATCCGACGGGGTTCCCTGAGAAATGGAACTTTGCACGTAAGTCTTATGCTTCTAGTCGGAGATATGTCCGACCGTTTTTGTCATAGTACTAAACTTTGTTATGTCTTTGCAGCTGAGAAATTGGCACCTCCGCCCGTCGAAAATATCCGTGAGTGGGTGAGCGTTGTTCTCCCTCATACGGCGGGGGTCCGTACATGGGCGGCCTTCTATGACAAACATGGGTGCAGGCCTCTTTCTAGTAAGATGTCGTTTCAATTCGCCGTTAGCTTTCCGCCAACCAGCCTCATCTACTCGCTCTATTGTGGTTCCCACCGCCCGACCTTCTTCGAGGGCGGCATCATTTGAGTCCGCGTCTGTGGTTATTCCTGTGAGGACTGCTTCTTAGGCCGAAGTTCCGACCCATGTTGCTCGCCCAACGGGTGAATCTCCGCCTACTGGGGAAGAAGAGGGGCAATCGAAAAGACGGCGAGTGGAGTTCGAGACAGCGCCCTCAACAGTGATTCTCCTTCGACGGGATCCAGAGAGGGGATTGTTGTAGCTCCCCTTGTAGGGACGAAACCAGCCGTTTCCTCGGCTCGCTCAGAGATTCCCACTCGGTGGTCAACAACCTATAGTGGCGGAATATCAGACTTCCGGGGCCGTCGTTGTAGTTTCGGACATCCCCTCTTCCTCTACAGTTGGTCGTGCTTCCTCTGCGGTTGCTGAAAGATGAAAAGGCATGGTGGTCGACGACTACGAATCTGAGTCGGACCTCGACCCTGATGATGTCAGCATGTTTGAAGAGGGCCTTACTCACTCGGTGGTTCATGTGGGAGGCTCGACCCGTATTCTTCAGATCCCTTCGGATGTCAATCTCTTGGGGACACAGAGGATCTGGTACCGCAGTTCAGCCTGCTATGCTCCGAAGCAGAAAATACGGCTCTTCGGTCCGTTCCGGATGCTGATTTGATGGATGAGGTGGCCACTATGGGCTTAAAGGGTATGTTGCGCTTTACTTTCATTTTTTCCTCGCCTTTCTTTAAGATACAAGTCAAACCTGTCTTTATGTTTTTCATGCGTATTTGGTGGAAGTGGAGAACATTCGCGGGGCCAACATTCAGGCCAGAATTTTCTTGAAGATGTTGGAGAAATATCGTCGATACGGAACAAGTGTCGCGAGATGCATGAGCGGCTGAAGGCAAACCCCGGTAATCGGGCTCTTGGTGAGGAATTGGAGGAAAGGGACCAGGAATTGATGCACGCTATCCGCAGCAGGAGCGTGCTTGAGGAGCAACTTTGAATAAAGGACGAGGAGCTCGAGTTGGGCAAGGGAGTTGCCGTATAGTGCGCTGCAGGAGAAATTGAGGTTAATGCAGTCGGAGATGGATCAGAACTTGACCAGGTTCGAGGCGCTAGGCGCGGAATGGATAGGAAAATTGACTGAGCTGGAGAACAAGGTTGCTGGGTTGGAGAGCATCGAGAGTGCTTAGTCTGCGGCTTCGGCGAGGGCGGCAGCCCTGGAGAACACCATCCGCGTCCTCCAGTCCGAGCAGGAGTTGGAGAGGCTCACGGCTACCCTTATGGAGACAAGGCTTGAGGAGCGCATCAGCGAGATTGACCGAGAGGCGTCGGTTCTGGGAGATCGGGTCGCAGCCCTGGAGGCAAAAATTGAGCGGCTGTTGGCTCAGATTGAATCTTCCTCCACCGCCGTTCCCCGCCATATGCATGAGCTTTGGGTTCATGCCGAAGCTCAACGGGATATATACAAGAGTTTATGGGAGGCGAGTACTGTGACTGAGCCTGCATATGAAGAGACGCGAATGAAAGGGCGGGAGGCTCGTGCCAACTGTGGGTATGATGCGGCGACGCCTGAAGCTAATTGGGGGCGCGGACGCCGAATGAGAACTTCCCGGAGATGGCAGTGGAGAGGGTGGCGATGGCGATGTAGAGTAGTGATATTGATTTTTCCGTTGGTTGTTTTCTTCCCAAATTTTCGTTCGTCGTCGATTGTCGTTGTTCCCCCTTTTTTTTGTTGCTCTTTTTTTTAGATTGTTGACTTGGATCTTATGTAATCCGCGACCATTGGCGTGGAGATATTGTATAAAGGAGAAGCTGTTATTTGCCTTGTATTCCACTCGTTTTCGTTTCGCGTGATTCCGGTGCGAAATAGATTCCCGCACGGCGAGTCCCGGTCTTTTGCACTTTTCGATGATCCTCGGCCTCGGGAACATTTCGCGCCTTCTCATTGGCGATGGCTTATGGCCTTAAAGGGCGTTATTTCGAACTTGTCGAAATAGTAGCCCGTCGTCGTTCGATCGAGGTCGAACTCTTATTTTATGGCGAAGGCCCTTGGCCTTAAAGGGTGTTATTTCGAACTTATCGAAATAGTAGCCCGTCGTCGTTCGATCGAGGTCAAACTCTTCTTTTGACGAAGACCCTTAGCCTTAAAGGGTGCTATTTCGAACTTGTCGAAATAGTAGCCCGTCGTCGTTCGATCGAGGTCGAACTCTTCTTTTCATTTTAATAATAACTAATAACGGCGCAGTCTTCCGGTGTTACGACCTGGTGCTCTCTTGTGAAGAGCCAAAAGCTCTTGACGTAGGGA